GGTTTTTCATTTTAAATAATAAAAATGCACTCTAAAATCTGTTTTTTTATATATAGAACAAGAACAGTTCATATACAATATTTTTTATTCAATGGCAAATCATGATTTTACAGTCATAAAATACTTAAAACATTCTGTAAACTTGACACAAGCAGCAAGAGCAGCCAATAGGAATCTGTGGGAAGAATACTATTATGGTGACCCCAGTGCCGTTCGCTTTGAGTGTAGATCCGTTGAATGCTGCATTTTAGGGCCGTGCTCAGGGGGTGGCCCAGGTGGCTAGAGCTACTGCCCCTCTGCCCTCATTGGCTGAGGTGCCAATGAAGTGAACTCAGGACCAAGTTCTTACTGATCTGGAACTTTAAAATTAAAAATAAACTTCATCCATTCTTTCCAAATGCTGGGATCAGAAGGAAGGCGATGAAAAGATTGTATTTTTCCACAAATTGGCACTGTACTGTACATCCTCTTGTTGTTTTAGGAGCATCTTTATTGTGGTTTCTGGGTAGACCTGCATTTTCCTCTCTGTTATTTACAATACATGCGTAGATCGGTGGGTGGGGCTAAACGGCAGTGCTGTTAAAGCAGGCTTTGCTCTTCTGCGGAGGCGGGGTTTAGCCACACTGTCACGTCATAAAGTGGCACATTCCACAACCTGTCGTTTTGGCAGATTGGCTTCAGTATAAGCTGTTTTTAGACTAACAAGAAAGTTTTGAGTTCTGAAAATTACAGGATGTTTTTATAGTACAATGACATATGTCAAAAGATCAAGGGAATTTTGATTTCTCCGTTCATGATCCCTTGATTATCACATCGCCAGCTCGATAGGTCCAGATAAAATACCAAAAAGTCACATGGTGAGGTATGCTGTAATCCACTAGTCATGTTTAAACTCCGCTTCTGGCGGTTAGGAGAATTGAAACAGAACTACCCAGCACCTGAGTAAAATGACTCAACAAGCTGAACCCTGCATTTGGGTAAAAAAATAAAATAAATAACCCAGCATTTTTAGAGTGTATTTACTCAGAAGTATTTGCAAGTGTTGTATTACCTCATTACAAAAACTACAAACAACTGTTTGTCACATGTTGATAAGCTTTAACACATTTCAGCAGTAAACAGAATAGAAGAGTGAGAGAACGGACAACATTGATCATTCTGACTGAAACTGTGACCCACAGACAGTGACTGAAGTCCAACCTGGATATAATTCAGAAGAGTCCTCTATGTTGTGTTCTTTTATATTCATGGGACATGCCTGCCAATGTGTTGTCGTTTTTACGCTCAGGCTTGAGTTCAACAGGTGGTGTATCCACTTTTAGAAGCACGCTGCTGGCACTCGTGCGCTTTTCTAATGGTCTATGAAGAAAGTCGCATGATCGCATGATAGGATTCAGAAACGTAACATATTTGTTGGTGATGACAGGTAGGTACATGTTCTTTTACTTACTGATTTGAATAAACACACTAGACATGGAATGGTCAAACAAACTCTTTGGGTTAATCCTTAAGAGTTACCTCTGTGGGGGAGTGCCTGGAGTAGGCTATTTGATGATTTGTTTTCCCATTACAGTTACGTCTGCTCGTGCGCGTGTAACTTTCGAAAAATTAAAAACTAATGAAGGGAGTGCACTGTACCGTCTTTTTGGAGATCTGGTATTAGACCTACCTCCAGGATGAACAGTAGTTAAAACTTGTGTTTTCAGGTAAAAAGCATGGGTAAAAGTGCTTCTTTTTCGAGAGAAGCATTGAATGCACACAACATGGGAAGCATATCTTGTCAAAATAGACTTTTTCCATTGTGCATTTTGTGAGTTTTCCATTTTTTTCTGTTCTAGACACCTGTTTTCCTTGGATAAATTTAGGCTAAATATAGGTGAGGCCTCCTCCTTATCTTGCACACTTCAGTAAGATCTAAATTTGCCCCACCATCATGAATAGGTCACATCAAACTATAAAATACTGTACCGTATATGCATTAAACAGGGTTTTTTTACTGACATGCAGTTGATTTATACATGGAGGTTGTATAAAACAATTTTACATTTTTGTGTGTACTGTTTTTTTTATGAGTCTAATATAATAATAATATAATATTAAGATCTTTTTTTTTTTTTAAATAAGATCACAATGGCTGTGTTCAAGCAGCAGCAGGTCGAGACTTTCTATGAGATTGGAGAGGAAGTTGGGAGGTAAAAATTTGTTTACTTGGTGGTTTATCATATGCTTGCTGATTGTTTCAAAACATAATGACACACATTACACAGCTGCATTCATATAGGTGGTATATAGGGGGGGCATTGGGTCATTCACCTGACTCCAAATCTTTTATCCCAGCACAATTCCAGTGTGAAAACATCAACATTTTAATTGGGTCCCTGGTATGAACTAAATATAACAACAATCTGTGGTGTACAACTGAAAAAA